TTTAACGTCGGGATGTGCAAAGATATGAATAGCATTATTTACTCGTGTCATAACAGCTTCAAGTGCTACATTAATTAACTTTTCAAAATATGCACGTGCGTCAACTTCATTCATATCAAGTACAAGACTATTCAACAAATAAACCATATCTTCTGTTCTTCTTAATTCAGGTAATCCAGTTGAAAGCATCTATTACAATAAGTTTTTTTTTCATTTATTATTACATTTAAATAAGTAAACAAACCATAGTAAATAAGTTAACTAAGCCATGATAATTCTTTCGTAAAATTAAGAATGTATCACAACATAAATTCACAAATAATCTAAATCCCTCTGAATTTTTACCTCCCATAACATATACAAATTCTTTAGTAAGAACAAATGGAGCTGTCTCTCGTTTAAATCCCTTAAATTTTTCAACATTCCCTAAAATATGACCAAAGTCAATATGAACAAGATGTCCTGTTGGTGTAAGAAGAATATTATCATTATGTCTATCTCCTACACCAAGAACATAAGTAGCAACACAATATCCTGCACATGAATAAATAAAATTTTGTTGTGCATTTAAAAATTCATCATCACTTGTATTTTTGTCTTTTAACCACTTATATAATGGATCTTCTTGAAATGCAGCAGAAACATTCCCTCCATACATTTTCTTTTGAATAGCAGCAATTGTCTCGGAACGTAATACAACTTCAATCATTCCAACTGCATTACCCATTGCAAGACATTCATAACATGTTAATCTCATATCATATCCTTAATTCTACTTCATGAATTAATGGTTTAAATTTTATTTAATAATATTTACTTTCTAAAAAAAAATAGATATGTACTTTTTTAAATAAAAAAAGCAAATAAATTTAGATTGTCAACGACAAAAAGAGTTGTAACGTTGTAGATAATTTTATTTATTAATGTATTAAAAAAAAATAACTTACACAACATTTAATAATATTCTGTTATTAAAAAGATTTTATCACTAAATTAATTAAACAATAACACAACTTTTTACTTTTGACCTTTTATGAGGTTCTATTGATTTTAAACCACCATAACTTTTATTAACCTCTTGAATATGAGTATCATAAAAGACTTTAAACTCAGAATCATTTTGAAGAAGATATCCAAGACAATATTTTTGTAACATTTCTTTTTTATTGTCATTAGCATTTAATTTAAGATGATAAAACTTATAGTTTAATGTCATTTCAATAATGTCTTGTTCTGTGACAACACTACTTTCACTTCCATCTGTTATTCCTATGACAACTATTTTTGTTAATTGGCATTTTTGATGAATAAATGGAATTTGAACTTTCAGAAATTGAATAGATTCCTTGTCATTAACATCATAAATACAAAATAAAATTTGAAATCCTCTAATAGACGATGGATTTGAAATACATTGTTCAATATGAAGTGTTGCATTAACTTGACAGATTATCTTTCTATCAAAAATAAGAAATTCAAAATTCTCATAGTCACACCCTTGACTCTCAGGAATAAGTTTTCCTGTAAATAACTCATAAAGGTCATATGAGTCAGTATAACCAACTAACTTTGAACGTAAGAGGTAAGTCTTTTCGTCAGGCATTCTTATTTTTGAGAAGTAGATTTGACCCAAAAGTTCAACTTTAAATATTAAACGAAATTTTAAATCAATTATCCAATCATAAAAATTTAACAAAGAAAAGGAAGGAATAAATAACATTTGCAAAAATTACCTCTAGTCAGTTGTTTTGTTATAAATAAAAAATCATCATATCCTTATTTTCTTTCTTGAGAATTTTGGATTTTTCACATGAAAAGAATCTCTTTATTTTAGGGAGGTTTTCTTTGTTAACTTTTCCAAAGAATTTTCTTGAATCTTTTTTTTTTTGTTATTCAGAGATTTATAAAACAAATTTAAAACGTGATAAATAACAGAAATTTACAATTAATGAAAAATGAAGAAAAAGAAAAAAAACAATTATGAAATGTCTGTTAAACAGACAAAAAAAAAATAAGTTAGTGTTTTATTTCAGAAGAAAAGATAAACAGACAATTTATTTGAAAGCTACATACTATTTGAAGATAATCTAAATGTTTGATCTTAAATTAGTTAAAGAGTTACAATGAGCATTGTTGGAATTACTTTACTTGTTATTGTCCTTGTTTCTCTTATTATTCTTTATCATTTTAGACCTAATGGATATGATCCCAAATTAAATGGATGTTTTGTTGGTGAAGCTAATTCAGGAGAAAGTAGAGTGATGAGAGGATATGGTGGTATTGATAAATTAGTAGATTATAATATTCCTGGGTTTGAAACCATTGCAGATGTTGTTAATGGAATGACTAGAAGACACCAAAATAAACTTATTGGGTATAGAACACTAATTAAAGAAGTGCCATATAAAACAATTAAAACAATTACAAATAACAAAGAAGTAGAAAAAGTATTATACAAATATCAAATGAGTGATTATCAATACTTCTCAGATGTTGAATTTCAAACACTTATTAATAAACTATCAAGTGGAATTGCAGATGCTGGATTTAAATCAGGAGATAAGATTGCAATCTTTTGTGAAACAAGATATGAATGGATGGCTATGTTATTGGCTTGTTGTAGACAAGGTATTATTATTGTAACTGTTTATGCAACATTAGGTGATGAATCTGTTGGTGTTGCTTTGAAAGAAACAGAGGTGAAAGCCATTGTAGTTTCTAAAGAAACAATACAAAGAATTAATAAAATTCAAGTACCAAATGATGTAAAATTAATTTGTGTTGATGAACTTGAAGAATATCCAAAAGAGTTCAAAGTTTTTAAATTCAGTGAATTAAAAGAATCAGCAATTCATTCATCATTTACTCCAGTTAAACCAAACGACCTTGCATTAATTATGTATACTTCAGGAACATCTAAAGATCCAAAAGGAGTTTTAGTAGAACAAAAACAAATATTAATGTTATCAGTTGGATATCAAAAGAATATTTTCTTTGACCAAGATGTTTTTATTGCTTATTTACCATTGGCACATATTTTTGAATTATGTATTGAATTTGCAGTTATTATGCATGGAGGAACTGTTGGATATGCAAATGTTAGAACATTAACATCTCCAGGAGTTATTGATTGTAAGTCTGATTTATGTGCATTAGAACCAACTATTTTAATTGGAGTACCAACAGTTTTTAATAGGGTTCGTAAAGCAATTCTTGAAACAGTTAATAAGTCAGCAGCTTCAAAACAAAAGATATTTAATGCATGTTATTGGATCAAAGAAAAATTATACGTTAACTTTAATTTAAGAACCCCTTATTTATTTGTGCCAATAGTTAAATTAGTTGATGCAATTGCTTTTAGACCATTAGCAATTTCATTATTTGGAAGTTATTTAAAAGCTATTATTATTGGTGGATCTGCTCTTCCTTGTGAATTACAACATTTTCTTCAATGTGTTGTTCCAGGTGTTGATATCATGCAAGGGTTTGGAATGACTGAATTATGTGGAGCATGCAGTGTTATGCCACATGGAGATGCTACATTAGGAAGTATTGGATGTTTATTCCCAATGTATGAAGCAAAATTAAGAGATGTACCAGAATTAGGGTATTTAACTTCTAATAATCCACCACAAGGAGAATTATTATTTAGAGGACTTCCTGTGTCTAAAGGATATTTTAATAGACCTGAAGAAAGTAAAGAAGCATTTACTGAAGATGGATGGTTATGTACAGGAGATATAGCAAAATTTGATGAACAATGCCATATTTATATTATTGATAGAAAGAAAAATATTGTAAAACAACCATGTGGAGAATATATTTCATTAGAACTTGTTGAGTCAAAATACAGTTCATTAAGAATTGTTGATTCTATTTGTGTATTTGCAGATGCATTCCATGATTTTGTCGTTGCACTAATTCTTCCAAATAAAAATGTTATACAAGAAATTAGTGATAAACCATTTGAAGAAGCATGTGAAGATAAAGTAGTTATTCAAGAAGTGAAAAAACTATTAAAAGAAGCAGAAAGTACACTAACAGAACGACAACGAGTAAAACACTTTGCATTATTATCAGATGATTGGACACCAGAAAATGGAATGTTGACTGCAGCACTAAAATTAAAGCGACAATCAATTTCTACAAAATATCAATTAATAATTAAAAAACTTTTTGATGAAAAATAAGCTAAAAAAAATAATAATAAAATTATAATTTAATTATAGTTTGGATTTTTTTTTCTAAAAAAGGAAAAATAAAATTTTTGAACTAAAAATAAAAACATAAATAAAATATTTGTTGGAAAATGAAATGGATTGTTTTGTTTTATATTCTTATCCTTGTACAATCTCAAAAACAAGAATTAGTACGGTGCGTTACAAATGGAAGTATATGCGAAAATAATATTAATGAAAATGGAGAAATAATTAAGGGTGGTTGTGATATTATTACAATTACTTCAAAATTTACATTTGATGAAACTTGTTTAGTTGAAAGAGAAGAAGTCGTTTTAATTATTCAAAACAAAGTAGAATTAACTATTTCAAATGAAGTTACAAATAAATATACATTATTATTAAAAGATGGTGCTGATGTAAAAATTAATGGAATAATTACTCAAAACCAAATTAAATTTGACACACAAAAAGCAAAAATATCTTTATCAATTTTTATTGATTTTGATATTTTTAATATAACGCAATTTCCTTTTTTGAAATTCGAAAGTACTGGAAAATTGACCGTCACTAATTCTAAATTTATTTTAGATAATTTGCAATATTTAATTGCTGATAAAATAGAATTTGATTCTTCTTCAATTTTATTAAAAAATAGTGATGGGTTACAAATGAAATCATTACTTCTTAACAATTCAACTTTAACTATGATTCCTAATACTGAATTAATTACATGGTCATTTACATCAATTAATAATAGTTTTATTTATTTAGATGATTCTATTCTCAGTGTTATTGATTCATTTGAACTTAAAGATACTTTTTTTATGGGGTCATCGAAATGTTTCTTAGATTTATCTTCAGTTATATTAGTCAAATTAACAAATACAATTTTTGAACTTGGAAATAATGGTGTTCTTTTGGTTAATGAATTAGAAGAGTTGGGAGTTTCTAGTATTGTTTTACAATCTCAAAATCATTTTTTTACTTCACAACTTTCTTTAACTGATGAATCAAATTTTACTCTCATTGGAAATAGTAAATTTTTTGGAACTTCCGTCGTTATAAAGAAAAAAAGTCTTTTTACATTAGATGGAAATATAACATTTTCAGATACATTTGATTTAACTTGTTATGAAGATTCTATAACTACTTTTAATGGAAGTATTATTCCTCCTTTTACTAAACTTGAATTTTATAATAAAAGTAAGTGGGAAATTTATCAGGATCATCCATACTCATTTATTTTTAATACTTCATCCACTTCAAAGTCATTATATAAACGATTTGGTATGTTTGATGAATCAACGTTATATGTACATTCACCACCAGAAGAACTTTCATTATTTCACATCTTTCTTGGGGAAGTTATGTTTGACCCATATGTAACAATTAATACCTTTACTGGAGAATGTTTTTATCTAGCTGTTTTTGAAATTCATAATAATCTTGCTATGACACTTAAAAACCCTCATTTTATTTTATTAAATGATAATAAATTATGTAAGTATTGTCCAAATCATATTGACCCTTATCAACATTGTTATATGAATGGAACTCAATGGCTTAATCCTTTATC